CCCCGCGCCCGGGGCCCGGCCCGCCGGACCCTGCGGGCTTGAGTGCTGGGCGGGCTCTGGGGGCCTCGTACCTGATGCCGAGTCAGGCCTCCTGCTCCGACCCCGACCCCGACCCGCAGCTGACAGAACTCGGCCAGCTTTTTTTCTGGGCTGAAGAGTCAGAGGATTATGGCCCCCAAAGTTGCCCGGAGAGCGCGTCTCTCTGCGCGCAGGATTTTAGCGACAGCCACCACAGGAGGGGCGAGGTGGACGTCTTCCCTTCCTTACCCTCGCCCGCGGTGGGCGAATTGACGCTGGAGGTGGGTCACGGGGACGCGCACCGGCCCTCGGACTTAAGCCAGACCCGCTCCCTCACGAGCGAGCCCGCAGGTTGTATGGAGGACGACCCCCGCCTCAGAGCCGTGTTCGATGCCCTGGACGGCGATGGGGACGGCTTCGTCCGCGTGGAGGACTTCGTCCAGTTCGCCACGGTCTACGGGGCAGAGCAGGTAACTCGGCGGGCGCTCCTGGGCCCGCAGCCTGGGAGCCTGGCCCTGCGCGCCGCCTCCGGGCCGACGCGGTCCGCTGTGGTCGGGAAATGCACGGTTAGGACCAGTGGTCCCTCATATTTTTATTCACTTATGCCCTTACTTTTGGTTGAGTTTTATTAAAACTCCTTTTCCTCCTTTAAAGAGGTTCTATTCTAGGGAATCTTTCTTTCACTGCACCCCTCTGCCCCCCCTCCGGCGGGACACGAAGTGTCCTTTCCTAAACCGAGAGGAGTTAGTTCCTGGCGTGGGGACCTGCCCCCAGCTGCCTATTAGAAGTGTCCCTTAAATGACGAAGTGCCAAGCGATTGCCCCAACTGAGGGCCCAGATCTGGCTTGGCTGAAGTAATTCGCTCCTTCAGACCTCAAAGGTCAGGCTGTGCTTGGCTACTTAAGATCATGCTAATAGACACCGTTTTAGCATATGTTTTACGTAGATTCATGTTTTATTGTTCGGGAGACAGTGAAAACTAAAAAATTTCACTTCTGTGCCTCTGTGAAGAAGGAAAGGAACGAAGGGGGGTGGGGGAGGGCTTGGGCATGAGTCGGACGAAGTTTGAATACAAACTTTTAAAAAATATATATTGGCTTTAGAGAGAGAGAAAGGGAGAGAGATAAACGTCAACGTATTGTTCCACTCATTTATGCATTCTTTGGTTGGTTCTTGAACCTGCCCTGACCAGGGATCAGCCCACATCCCTGGTGTATTGGGAGGATCCTCTAAGCAACTGAGCTATCAGTCCAGGGATGGTGAATACAAACTTGAGCAGAACTCCATCAGGGCCACCCCCACTCTTGTAGGAGAGGTGAGACCTGTAGACAGCAATGATGAGAATGCGCAGTGTGGCAGGGTACCATGCAGTCTCCAAGGGCTGCAGCTGCTCTGGGAGAGGGTAGCCCTCTTCCCCTCTCTCTCAGCACTCAGGAAAGTGGTGGTGACAACTACAGGGCTGTGTCTGTTCTGCTAATAACTTGGTGAACAGCAAATAGGTTACTGTTGTTCACTTTGAAATATTTTGCTTAGTAGTAGGAAATCCCCAAAATGCTGACCTTCTAGTTTTTGTATTTTATTGACTTCTCACCACATACAGACATTTGGTGGATGTTCAAGTACATATGCGTGTTTAAGCCAAGATATCTTTAGGAAAAGAGGTAAAATTGACATCCTGATATGTAGGGTATCAGTCATAACATTGAGAACATATATGGCCCTGGCCGGGTGTTCAGTTGGTTGGAGCGGGGTCCACGTTTGCCAAAGTTGTGGGGTTCCATTGGTCAGGACATACACAGGAAGCAACCAATGAATCTATGAATAAGTGGAACAGCAGGTCAGTGTTTCCCTGCCTCCCTCCCTCCCTTCCTCTCCCTCTCTCTTTAAAAGTCAATAAATAAAAAGAAAATTTTTAAAAAGAACCTTTTAAAGGACCCATGGCCCCCACCCCACCCACCGTTTGTCCCTTGAGCCACGAAAATGTGCATTCTTCTGTGGGCATCAGTGTAGTGCTTGTGTTTAGCACTGGGTTGAAAGATATTGCTCAGATGGGTCTTCTATGTCTTAGTCTAATAGGCAGAGAGATAAATGATATAATTTCCTGTATGGTTAGCAGGGATTGTGATTGCTGGTCCAGGTTCTTTTGATACTTTTCTTCCCCCTGGGCCGGAAAGCACCTTGGGCATCTTTGGTTGTTTTTTACTAGTGTGATGTGTCTTCTCTCCAAGCATACCCTTTCTCATTACACCAAAGATGTTTAAAATATACCACATTTGTTCTGTTTTTCTTTTTCACCGTAACCTGGCTTTGATAGAGTGCTTTACAGCTTATATGAGGCTCATTTATGTTTTCACTAGATCATTACCACCTTTCTCTGAGATAGTAGTAGGCAAGCAGGCTTCATCTCACTTTGCAGGTAAGAAATGGAAGCCCAGAAAGTTTAACTCCCAACACCTCACAAATTAAATTATCAGTGCTAGAACAGGGACTAGAACTAGGTCTTTTGGCCTGTAACCTTTAGATGGCTCTCAATTTCTTAGATTTGGTGGCTCAAAATATTCCCACGAAGTTTTATCTTACTGACTTCCATAAAATCCTTTTCATTTGGCAAACACCTTTTGTTGTGACTGTCCTTATTGCCCTTACTGTCCTGGGGAAAACTTTGGGTTGTTATTTGGGGCTGAACTTTCTTATAATCACAAAGTAGAAATGAGTCAAAATTCTTCTCTCTGATAGCTCCTGGTGGAATTTTAAATTTGGTGGTAAGGCTTGGGTTTGGTGGGGATAGACGAGTGTTAGGAGGCCTTTGGCGTTACCCCTTCTGCCTGCTCTCCCACACTGCTCAGGAAGAAGCAGTGTTAGACTTGATCTAAATACCTGGACTTGAGTGAGCTTCCTGGGATAGTGGAGGAGAGCTCCTGTTTTTGGAGTAGTTAATTCACAAGGTAATGAAAAGTTGAATTTTATGTCTGTGTAAGCTTTGCTATCCTTTATTATGATTCAGGCTTGCTTTTCCCAACTCCATTATCAGAATACATTATAGAGGAGCAATGAGAAGAAATATTCTCTGATAATGAAGTAGTTTAGAGAAAAGTGAAGAATTCTATCTCATGATGAATATTTTTAAACTTTTAAATAAAAAACCTTGACCATATGCAAAAGTGGAGAGAAGAGAAGGCTAGTCTAGTGACACCTCCCCACCTCCTACCCCCTAGCCATTGCTCAGTTTCAGCAGTTTTGGTTCATCTGTAAACTCTCTACCCCTGGATTATTTTTGAAGCATATACGTGACATATCATTTCATCCATAAACAATTAAGTA